TGTTCCCACATTTTTGCCAAAATTTTCATTAGTATCATGTTGCATCAGCCTCCAAATGTCTTTCCTCGTGAAAGAGTGTTAGACAGTCTGACAGACTCTCCTCAGAAAAGTCTTCTCTTTTTCCTTCCATTTCAGCTTCATCCCATTTCCCTGATTGCTTTACACTTCTGTTTCCACCCTGCATGAACTGATGTGCTCCTCTGTTTTCATTCTTCACACACTTGTTGTCTAACCAAGGTACCTGTGTCCCCTCAGGCTCTGCACAGCTCATCTCTGACCACCTCTTTGGAAAGCTTTTCCTGTCCCTCTCTACTTGATGCTCTTCAGTTTCCAGTTATGCTTCTCCATTCCCCTTCATGAAAACATGAATTGTACTAAAACTCTGTTCTCTATCCATTTCCCTTCCACCTTTCACTTCTTCTATCATCCTTCATTTCTATTCCATTATCTGTCTCCTAGGCTCTCTTCTCACCTTTCCTCTACAAGAGATTGGGTGAGGCTTCACTGATCTTCCCTAAACTCTTGGGGAGAGGTGGGTAAGTACCTACCACTGCCTGTTCCTCCAAAGCATTTTCATTTCTTCACTTCTCAGAGGGAATTACACCGACAGTTTGTTTTCTCCTTCTCCCATCACTCACTATGAGCATTTTGATGGCTCTAAACTCCTCTCATTCCTCATTCCTCATACCTCATTCCTCATTCCTCATTCCTTTTTTTTTCTTGGCAAAATCTATTTGGACCCTCACCAATCCAGGACTCATGGGACCAAAATCTGTTCTGGCTGCATAGTTGCAAAATTGACAGGAAGCTGAAGACACTACATTTAATTTTTGTTCTTTTCTTATGTCTGTTTTTCCTTTTTTCACTTAAATTCACCCACAGTACCTGAGGATGGGAGTGAGAGTGGGGGTATAGTTAACTTGGGTTAATATGGTCCTTCTGAGGGCAGCCTACAGGGCAGAGGAGGTGTTGACATTGCTGTTTCTCAGCTCCTCAGGTGCTCCAAACAACTCTGGCAGAGCAGAAACTATCATTAGAAAGCTCTAAGTGAAATAACTGTATACATACATCTGGACAACCTCATTTTTTTCCTGGGGCTTGTATAAGACATACCACAGAGCCTTGCTTTTGAGAGAAAATGGACCCAGTTTTCTGGAAAATGTGACTTGTTTCAGGGTTGGCAAGATACAGGCTGCAAATTTAGGCATCTGAAATGAATCAGTGATCACTTTGAAAATCTTGATCAAAATGTTTCACATGGACAGGCATGAAATAGGAATCCACAAACGGCAGCACCACAGGCTGTTTGTTATTACAGATGATCATTTAGCACAGGCTGTTCTAATTTAGGTCAAACAAAGCTAATCCTGAAATGATCTATTCCTTAAACTAGCCTTGTGTGTCTGTGCCTTTGCACATGTGTGCACAAACAGAATAGGTAATTTTTAATGGAAAATAATATGACTAGAGGATACCTTGCCTAGTTTTCTTTCTCAGGGAGATGCAGGGGATCCAAGTTGTTTTGTCAGCTTTTTTTCTCCCCAGGAAAGTAGGAGGGTACTGAATGACATGGGGATTAGATAGAAGAGGAAAGCACATGCTTTGGGCTCCCAAAATATCAGAAGGCACTTACTGTGTTAGATACCTACTGTGGTTAGCTTAGGGCAGAGTAGAGTCCTTGCAGGGAAGTCTGTAGCTAGAGGCCCTGGTACTCTGGTACTCTGTTAGGGTACAGAGTATTTTGCAAGTAAAAAAGGGTACTTTGGAGAAAAAAAAAGCCAATGCTTCTGGAAACTGAGACTTATTTTCCATGGATGGCTAACATGAGTCATGACTTGCTAAGCATTTAAGGTCTCTCTCTGTTTCTAGTTTTTCTAGCATTCCTAATGTTTCTAGTACTTATATCTACCTGATACCAGGCATGTTTAGATTAGATGTCATGTAGAAATTCTTTACTCAGAAGGTGGTGAAACACTGGAACAGGTTGCCCCATTCTTGTAAGTGTTCAAGACCAGGTTCAAGTCTGTTGCAAGGACTTTATGAAAAAGCAGTAAATGAGGGTGTACATTCTTGCTTGCAAAATTCCAGTCAAAACTGCCTGTATCATGCCTACTGTCCTGGTGTCAGCTGGGACAGGATTAATTTTCTTCTTTATTAAACCATACCACCAACCTATTAGGAAAATAGAGCTGACTGGTGGGAAGATGTGTAATGTGTGAATAACATCTGCGTTTGATGCAGGATCATCATTTGGCATTTGGGCTTCTGAAGACACTGTAACAGTCAGAAGAGGCAAGAGCTGGGGCTGTCAGCTACACACCCCCTATTTTGATGCATAATATCCTGCAGGGCTCACATTTCTCCTTGTTTTTCCTCTCTGCTATTTTATTCATGTTTTTTTTCCCCCTTTTGCTCCTCACCCCATCCAGAATAATAGAATTGGCTGGAGCAGGGTCAGGTCACTTCTTGGCTGATTATACTGCTAACAGAAAAATCCAAACAAGCCACGCTGCATTTTATTCCTGAAGCTTATTCTTGAGAAAACTGTTTTTGCTCCTGGGGAAGTCAATGGAAATCTAATTAATCCCAGATGTTTAGTAATAATAAGCACTTCCTTTTGGGAGAGCTGAACAAAAGCAGTGTGAAAACTATTAATTAATCGGGTTTGACTCTGTCATCAGGTTTAATTCCAGCCATACTAGTCAAGTTAATACTGGCTCTGAGAGGGAGATTGTCCTGCTTGACACAACAGCCATAAACTTGGTGTGTGGCAGATTAAACAGTGTCTGGGCACACAGCTCAGCTTGCCTTCACACCAAGGGAAAAGCACAGCAGCTTCAACATCAGACTTCCAGCTGGTTCCTGGGATTGCTGCTTGTGCAATCTACTAGACTAGAGACTAAAGACTAGACTTATTTCCCTACTTGAATAAAGGCTTGAGCTAATGATGGGCTCAAGCATGGACTTCTGTAGATGTTAGATCAGGCCCTGTTGCTGCTGAGGGTTTGTGCAAATTCATAGAACCATGGAATCACAGAAAGGTTTGGGTTGGAAAGGACTTGAAAGGCCATCTAGTTCCAGCCCCATTGCCATGGTCAGGGACAACATCCAATAGACCAGGTTGATCAAAGCACCATCCAGCCTGGCCTTGGACACTTCCAGGGGTGGGTTATTCCAAAGTTCTCTCAAAAACCTATTCTGAACTTTTGCCTACATCTTCAGTAGATCTTCTTGGTCTCCATTGGTTGTGCTCTAAGATATGGAACAGCTGTCCCTTCTTCAGGACTAGAAGGTAAAGGTCAGAGGTGGAATCTGAACACAATAGGAAAAAATGGGGCTTTTCTTTTCATCTGTGAAGCATTTCAAACTGGTGATTTAATATATTCACAACCCTGTGCTTTTTACAAAATTCAAATATGTTTTTATTATACAAAATTCCACAGTGAAATCCACCTGCCAGTTTCTTACATAGCTGCTTTAAAAATAGAATTATACACCTTTTTGTAGCGTGTTAATTTTTATATTCACTAGCTTGAAGAAACAGAAATGAAGCAGCAATTTGACTCTGAGTTATTTACCTGGACAGGTTTTGGTTTGACCTCTGTTTCTGTTATATGCCTTAATGTACAGTTTGTGGCATTAACAGAAGACCTGATGTAGTTACTTTTGAAGCCATTGCACCCCATTAGCAGGTCAAGCTCCCACTGTTGGTGAGCTTTTCTTCACTTCAAAAGGGTGAATTTTCTGTCAGGGTACAAAACAAAATATACGTCTGTGTTGACTTTTAGCAACGTAGCATGTTAGCTGTGTTAAACCCATCACAGAATGAGGATCTACATAACTTTTCTTACAGCCCATCCTCTAGACTATAATATCTTTTTAGGGTGACAAAGAGGACATCTGATCTGAATAATGGCACAGGACTATGTTCCCTCTGTGTCATTTCACAATGGTATATTTTTGCAGTCTAACCTTCCATGACCTTTAAAAATAGATATATTATTATTCTCTATTGAAATGCAACTGTATGCTGTGAATTTCCTACAGTTTTCCTTAGAAATGTAGGATTTCAGTCCCATTCTAGCTGGTTGAAATTCATTCTCCAAGATTTTTCTTTTGCAAAGTATTTACCCCAGAGATTAATTTCTTCACATTATACCCAGTTAAATATGTATTGCACATGAGAGACAAATTTCTTCTCTTTTAGTTGAACTGTGAACCTGTGGCCTTCTGAGCAGATCTGGGTAACATATCAGCAGTTGCTTCATGCTTGAGATTTTTTTTACATCCCTCGTGGATACTAAGTGCCAGAACTAATTGGCCTCATCTACCTCTCATGTCTTGCCCCAGTGACTGGAGCAATATCCTAACAAAAAAAGTGAGACATCCAAAGAGGTTCCTACCACATGGTCTTTGGTTTCCATTGTCAGCTGTCTAAATGGTAGGCAGGAGCACAATGGACACTACTTATAATTTCCATTTGGGTTTGGTTTGGTTTGGTTCGTTTTTAGCTAAATTCTCATTGTTTTGGAACTTGAGGGGAATTTGCAACCAACTTCACTGAGTGAAGATTGTGTTTTGACCCACTCTGGCACATCTTTGTGTGATTTCAGTTTAAGAAGGGTTAGGAGCTAACCAGCTAGACAATAGCAAAGCTCAGACCAAACTGAAACATCTTGTGGAGGCCCATAACTTTGAGAAGGGATTTCCTAATTGGCTGATGGTATCATCTGAGCTTAGTGAAAAGTCTCAGGTCTTGAGACCTTGCAGGCCTTTTTCTTTTGAGCTGGTTTAAATTACACATCCCTCAAAACAACAGCAGAACTTTACAGTGGCCTTTTCTAACACTGTGTAATCTTTTAAGCAGATCTGCATGTGAATGAAGCAAGTCCAAAACAGAGCAAATCCTCCTTCAGGCTCCTGCAACCCAGACCAGTACAGCGGTGCAGTTCGGGGACACTTCAAAACCATTGTAAAATCCACAGTTAAAACTCAAAGATGAAAATTTTATCCTTCATTTCCACACAGTGTCAGGGTAGCACCTGATTTCTTCAGTTTTCAGGGTGTTTTTTCAGTTTTCAGGGTGTTCCTATGCTTTAAACTGGTGGCTAAAGTTTTGCCTTCGGAAGCAAAAAAATGAACCCACACCAATGATGATGACAGATAAAACTAGTACAGATGTTAATATAATGAGGATGTTGATTTTCTTCAGATCTTCTTTTTCACAGTCTTCTGGTCTAATGTCCTCGACGTGCATTTCTTCCCAATACCCGAAGCTCCGAATGTACTGGCACGTTAAGTGCTCCACGTTGGGGATCTGGACATTTTTGTTCTGGATCATTGATGAAAGCCAGATGTTTCCACAACAGTTGAGTGGGTTCCCAGAGAGATACAAGTTTTTAAGTGAATTTTCTAATGCTAAAATATTGCTGTCCTGTAATGTACTGAACCTATTGTTCCGTAGGTCTAGAACTTCCAGTGGAGTGTCACTACTCCACTTAGGCAGCCAGTTCAGCTGATTTTCAGAAAGGTTTAAATGTTTAAGGTGACTAAAACAAGGCAAGTCAATATTTAAATCTATCAGACTATTGCCATGTAAATGCAAGTATTCCAGAGACTTTTCCAGTCCTGCTAGCGCTTTAAGTTCTATTTTCAGTCCAGGGTTCATGGAGAGATCCAAGACAAGCAGTGGAGTCTTGTGGAAGGTGCGTGCTGGTAGGATGCTCAGCATGTTGTCAGCTAGGTACAAGTACTGGAGAGCAGGAGAATTGACAAATGACACACAACCACTGTCCTCTCCAGCAAGTCTTTGCTTAGCTAGTCCCGAGTACATGTGGCAAAGGCTGATGTTATTGCTCTGTAGGTTAAGAAGTCTGAGGCTAGGAAGACTGGAAAAGATGTCAAATTGCAGGGTCTGAAGGTTGTTGTTTTGAACATGAAACTCCCTCAAATTTGGCAAAGCACCAGCATCGAGGAGAAGGTTCTGCAAAGCATTGTAGCTCAAGTCAAGGACAGTTAGGGAGAGCAATGCACTATCATAAATTACTGTAAATGTCTGAAGACAGTTTCTGCTGAGATTAAGGGTGTGAAGGGACACCATTGACTCAAAGAACCCATCTGGAATGGATTTGATTTTATTATAACTTAAGTCTAAATATACAAGTTGGGATAAATAAAGAGAACTTGTATTTTTACTTTGCTTCTGATCGAGAAGATGAAAAGAAGCATCTAGCCATTCATTATCCATGTAGTCCATTTTATTATAAGGGGATTCAGCAGTGAGCTGGATTAAATTATTTGATAAATTCAGAGTTACCAGTTTATTTACCTGAGGGAAGACTGGGAAGTGAAGCAATTTGTTTTCACTAAGATCCAGACATCTTAAACTATATTCATCATTTGACTTTGTGATGCTGAAGGTCTCAATGCTATTCCTGCTAAGGTCAAGTACCTCCAACTGCCTGAGGTTGAAATCAGAGATGCAAGTAATTGAATTTGTGGAGAGATTGAGTTTGGAAAGGTTCGCTAGAGTCTCGAAAGCACCTTCTTCTATTTCCATGATGATATTTCTCTGAAGATCTATCTCCACAAGACTGGGAGATCCCTGAAACATCTTGTGGGATATCATTACAATACTGTTATCTGCCAAGGAAAGATACTGCAGTGTTGGAGCTTGATTAATGAAATACTCAGCCATCCTACTGTAGAGATTGTTGTGGGACAAGTCCATTTTTTCCACCTTGGGCAAAAGTCCAATCCCCTCTGTCCCATTCTGAGCAAGCTTATGTAAATGATTATTGGCTAAATTTATTTCCAGCAAACTTGTCATGTGTGCAAACACTCCAGACGTGATGAAGCTTATCTGGTTGAAGCTTAAATCCAGATACTGGAGGGAAGTATAGAATGATAATGGTATTTCAGGGATGCTTTGAATCAAGTTTCCAGACAGATCTATTTTGTTTACATTCAGATGGAGCTCGTGAGGGATTTGGTGGAGGTCTTTGTTGTGGCAAAATGCCTGTGAATTTGCCTGCCAGAAAAAGAGAGAAAAGGGGTTGTCATGTGACAAATTAAAAACATTTTTGCATGATATATATACGGAAAATAACATTCAAGATCCAGGCAAAACCTCCTCCTGAAACACTGATCCCACCACTTTATCTGAGCTGTCAGACAGCAAGAACAACAATCCTAACTCCTTTCTGCAGCTAACAATGTTCTTTTCATTTTTAAAACATCACTGACTTACAATAGTAGAGTTTTATCTGTGTTTGATACCTACTGAATGCTCTCCTTTTTGTACCTTTCTCCTGGAATTTAAAAGTTGGAAGTGAAGAAATTTCCCCCCTTTTCCATTGCAATCAAGCACCATTTCTTCATTTTTTTCTTCTGATGTTTAATTTTTTCACTTTCATCTCTGTATTAGATTTTTTGAACTCAGCTTGCAAGAGTAAGATGTACTTGAAAAAGCTTCATGCTTTTGAGAGTGTGGGTCCCAAAGCAAGGAGGTGGAAAAGCATATAAGGATCCTACATCACAAAACCTGTCTTTCCTTCATAGTCACACCCTCAGATATTCAACCATGTTTTCCTTTATCCATGGCTTAGTTTAGTAATGCACCTTTTTCCAAAATGGGTCATTCAATGACTGGAATGTTTCTGATGCAAGTCTCCAAACTCTTCCTGCTTTTACTATCCATGTTTATCCTTTTGCTAAGGTAACAGCTCCCTTCTTCTTGCATGGGAAGAGCGCCTTGTGAAAGTGTTCTGACAACACTCACGTGACACAACATGGAAAAGACAAATTCTGTAAAGCCAGCACTTGAGAGAGAAGAAAGCTGTGAGGTGCAGTGAGGGTCATACTTTTTCAGGCCAATTCTCAGCAGCAGATAGAGGGGAAAAAAAAACAAATGTCAAAATCAAATCCATCTTCCAGAAGCAAGTCTGTTTAATAGCAGCTAGGATTGAGTTTGTGTCCAGGCCAAATTTGGAGTGTGTGTTCATAAGGAAGATTGGGAACATGAACATGAGCATCCTTGCATAAATATCAAGCTATATTTTGTTAATAACGAGAACATACAGAAGTGTGAGGAAGTGGAAAGTTAAAGGCTTAGGTGGCATTTAATTTACTGGAGGAAAACTCTTGTCATGAATGTGTTTGGATGTCTGGGCCATATAGTATTTATAGAAAGAACAGAAAGGAAAGAAATAAAGAAAAAAATGTGTTGAATCTTAATTTTTGTGGAGAAGCAGGATCCAGATTACATCACACAAAGCTTTTCAGATATTAAAGAAAGATTAAAAGTAAAAACAATTAAAACCCATCTGTTTCATGTGAACTTTGAGGTGAATGAAGTGGTACGTCTGCTTTTGGAGAAGTGTGGCACTAGTCAGTCTTTTGTGAATCTCTTTTGCATAATCTAAATTTTGGAGGCAACACAAAAATGTGTCAGAGAAGTACAAGTGCTCATCTGAACTCTAGATATAGTCAGACTGCTCCACAGTCCTTCCTATAATACATCTTTCCCAAAGATCCCAAGTAAATTGACTACAAAAACCTGAAACCCTTTTTACCCCCCTCCAATTCACTTACATCTCCCCCAGCTAAAAAATTTAGGGAGAAAAAAAGGAAATTTTCTGGCCTTAACTTGACATTATTTCTTTCCTGCAAAGCCATTGTAGAATTTCTCATTTTGAACTAAAATATGCCTGGATTTGGGCTTAGCTCCAAGGCATGAGAGCGAAGCTTTTTTTATTTTGTTTGTGGAAGAAGCAGAAGCCAGAAGGATAAAAAAATACAGAGTGAAAAAGCAGGAGGTACTTTGCAGTCTAAGGCAGATGCCAGGTTTCTCCAGACATTTTGAGCCAAATCTGAACAAGTGTAGAGCCCCCTTCACTCCTTCTGGGATAAAGTATCTTAGCAAAGTTCTGATCCAACTCCCGTCAATGCCAGCCAGCCGGTGTTCACTGAAGTCAATGCTTGAGAGGTCAGTCCCAGATCACCATGCATCTTGCAGGATTTGGCCTTTAATCTGCATCCATGGAATGGTCCCAGGTGTAAAAGGGACAGATAAAATCTGTACTTCCCACTGCCTGCCCTTTGCTCCTATAATAGTTCCCCTCTCATATTTCTTTTAAAACTATCACTCTTTTAGCTATTTTGATCCTCACCGTATTTCTTATCTTCTGCACCTCCTTTACTCCCCTGAGGCTCAAACTGCATGAATTTTATCCTCATCAGGAAGAAAAGATAAAGCACACCTCAGTGGGATGGAGCATCTCTTTGGTGTATCTCCCCTCCTCCCACCTCTTAGCTCAATGGGTTCTGACTTCATCTTTTTGCCAGTGTTTCCATCAGTTTATTTCAAGTCCATTGTCAAGAAGTACTGCAGGGCGAGGAGCATTTGGTCCCTTCAGTATCTGGTCCCACTTCTGTGCTGGGCAAAAAAATGGTCCAGTATTTCTAAAGCTAAGCATCATTTGGATTCCTGTTTCAGTTCTTCACTGCTCAGCACTAGGAGGAAGCTGTCATCCACGTTCCTAAGGGCCCTACAAAAAAAGCAGCTGGATCCAAGCCTCCACTCGTGTTCTCCTTTGTCAACTCATGAATAACTGAACCAAAGAATTTGGGCTGCAGGCACTTGGCACTGACCTGCACTTGTGTGGTGTCCATGGCCATTCCCAGAAGAGCTGTCCAGGTGGAGTCTCAGATCAAACCTCAGCAGTTTGTCCAGGTACCCCACATCAGCTGACCTGTGATATCTGGTCATGCACATGTTCTTGCACCACTCAGTCCAAGGTAAGACAGAATTTCCTAAAATCCCTTCCCTTCTGTAAATTATTTCAATGGTTATCCTTTGCCAGCAAGCATGAATTAGCAGAAACATCTTACTTTGGGAGGTAGAACATGACCTGCTTGAAGCTTTGCCTGACCTTGGAAGGCAGCATAAGTTAGGAATAACCTCCTGGCATTTAAGCTTTGCCTTGTTTTGCAAACCAGTAGATATGCCATAACTTGTGTAATCAGTGCAACTCACACCTGTGTCAAGGGTCTGGTAGGGATTGCTGACTTCCTAAAACCTCTTCTAGGGTTCTTGTTCAATGACAGGAGTACTAGTGGTGAGTCAGAGACAGGCACAAGTTTCTGACTCATGCCTTTTCCAGGAGACTTGGGATGAAACTATTAAATTCTGAGCTCTTGCTGTTCTAAAGGCGTCGCCACAGGGAAAGTGCCTTGTGAAACAGTGAGGCTGTGATGAAAAACAGTAATTCAGGACTTCAATGAACCCAGAAGTTAATCCAATAGCTCCTTCTTTCTTTAAATGGTGTTTGGATTTATGTGCATCTTTTGTTGGAGCAAACATCCAGCAAAGGAAGATGATCAGCATTGACATCTGCAATGCTGAGCTGTTCGTTCGAGATGAGCATCCCAGCCTTTGACTGCAGCTTTCTGTCAGAGCTAAATTTATCTAAGTTAACTGATTAGAGCCTTGAATTGTTGGCTTGATGAAACTAGTTTATGGTGGAGTGCTGGAAACAAGCACACGTTTACTTCACAGCAGTCAGCCAGGTCTGTGACCCTTCCAAAAACTGGAATGGGACAAATCTGCTAGGGTTACTGTGTGTCTTGCCCAGCCTTCACTTTACTGTGATACATGGGACCCAAGCTTCATCAGACTTCCCTCTCCAGCCAATGAACTGAGCTACTCAGTCAAGCAGATTCCCAAGATTGTTCTATATAACCTAGGTTTTAATTTCTTTGGAATTCAGGAAGTGCAGCAACACAGCAGGTGGGCAGGAATGCAATGAGTCCCATAAGGGAGTTGTGTACAGCTAGTAAATAGGGGTTTTTTTCCCTACTTGGCAAATTCTTGAAGTTTTGTGCTAAGTAGCTTCAATATTCAGGGAAAAAAGAAGGTATTTTTAAAAGCCTGTTACAGTCAGAAATACTTTGATAGGAAAGGTAGAAAGTTCAGGTCTGAATAACATTTATAATATTGTACCAGGTGCTTGCAAAAATCCAAGGAGAAAATTTTGTACTGAAGCAAGAGGCTTTGTCACTTATTTTTCCTCCAGCAGAAGTCAGGTGCAACTTCCCTGGCAGCAATGCTGTGTCAGGGCAGAGGAGGTCAGTCTCCCTGCTATTACAAAAGGCCTGGTATAGAGATATTTCACAGAAGATTCTTTATTTAAAGCACAAAGACCTTAGGCCTGATGGAAAGGAGTTGATTTTAGGTCTAAGTCTTTTCTCTGTCTCAGTCCCAGAACCCCTCTATGGTCGCAGGGAAATCAGGTCAAATTTCTTTAACCAGCTCCTCTTTAGAAAAAACCCAAACATAATGATGCTTCTTCCCACCTCACTCCTCCTCCACCCCTCTCATGTGCTGTCACTACAAAAATGACATAGCCTGAGAAGTGCCTGCTACCCATCCCCTAACCCTGGAAATCCCACCTCTGCCACCACAGAAAGTCTGCTGCTGAAGGATTTCCCTTTTCAGAGACCATGGCTGTTTGCACAGTGCCTGCAATGGGTGTGTCCCAGCCTCACTGCAGATCCCAAAGGGCCTGAGAAGGAATCCCTCCTTACCATTTCACAGGGTGTCCCCTCTATGGGATGATAGTTCAAGGTTCCTGTGTTCACCACTGCCAGCAAGAAGATGATGTTCAGTTTCATGGTTCTGAAGGCAAAAGTAATTATGGTTAGATTTCAAACGGAGCACAGAGGTCAACACATGTGAAAGCTGGCAGATCATCCTCTAATAAAGAGATGGACACAAGCAGTGCAATAAATTAACCCACTCTGAGCCTCCTACACTTGTGACCTACCTGTGTAGCTCTGCATTCCTTTGAGCCTGGTGGCAAAAGGAAGATGCAAGGCTTTTAATGGGTTTGCGTGGTTCCAGATGCTGCCTAGATGATATCCAGGCCACCCAATGAAATCCAGATTCTCATGCTGGGCAGTGTGTCTGGCATCACGTAGAAAGAGCTCTCAAATGGAAATGGTTTCTGTTTAGATCCAACCAATTGAGCTGAGGATATTAGCCACAACAGGACACCATCATGACAGGCATTCTTCTGTCATGCAGAAGATGATTTCAGATGGTTTGTGAGTTCAGGTTTGTATTTATTGCTTTGTGCTGCCCTCTAGGGCAGAAGCACCTGTCTAATTGCTGGTTTCCTCCCTTCCTTTTGCTAAGTATTGCTGCTGGAAACCCCACCTTTACACAGGTTTTCCCACTGCTTTATCCCAGAGCCACAAGCCTGAACTGTTCCAATGCAATTTTCCCATGGTTGAAATAATATGCCAAAGATCTGGGCTCTTAGCATCTCATTTGCTTTGCAATGCACCCTAAAATGAGAGGCATAAATCACAGAATCATAGAATGACAGAATGGTTTGGGTTGGAAGGGCCCTTAAAGATCCTCTGGCTCCAACCCCTCTGCCGTGGTTAGGGACACCTTCCTGCAGATCAGGTTGCTGGTCTAGCCATGACAATGCCATGCAAAGACATGGGGGAGGACATGATTAGGTGCAATGGATATAAAAATCCATGTTAAGCTGTCAAGAGAACAGTCCAACAGTGAGATCACAACCCCAGACGGGTTCCCCTTGACTGGGCTAGTGTCAGACTCGTTTTGGCCACCTTCCCTCAAGCCCGTCGTGTCTTGAGCTTCCCTTGTCCAGAGCTGGCTGCAGTGCTGATTTTGGCATGCTTTCTGGGCTCAAGCTCTCTATCTGCAACCCCCTTGGGGTGAGCAGGGAACTTACACTGAAGCTGGGGATTCTGTGGTGTCCAGAGGTTTAAATTCCTTTCAGATGCTCTGTGTTTAGAGTTTGCCCTGTCAGCAGTGTCCAATAGCACTTGCAATGCACAGACACTTTTGCAAGACAAACCTCAAACATTTGAGGCCTCCATGAGAAAAAAAGATATATTATTAAAAATAGGAGATTTTGATTTAATTTAAAGATGGACTAATATGCCTGTACTGAAGAGCAGCAAGTGACCAGGATGACTGCAGCTTTGCATTTTCTCCAATGGATGTTCAGAGCACTTTGGGAAGTTTGGATTTGCAGGGATAAAAATAGCAGAGATTTTGTTGGTTGAGCTTTTTAAAAACCCAGCTCAGTTCCTCAAGCTGTTTTACCAAGTGACCAAACAGTTGTGCCAGGTGAACTGTGAAGAAGAGCCTGGACAGAAACAAATGCCAGACCAGGAGGGAAGGGCATGCACTGATTCTGCTGCTCAGTACTTTGCTTCATTAAAATCACAGCCAAGTCAAGTCTGCACACCAAAATAAGGACTCCTGTATCTCCTCTAACCCCAGCATGGCTTTTTTCCTGTCTTTTGAAGGTGTTGACTTCCTCATTTCTCACTCTGTCCTCTCTCTACTTGCACCTGTATCAGGTGTTTAGCCAAAAGAACTTCCCCACCAGAAATTAACACCTTCAATTAATTGGATACATGAGGTTTAGCCAGATTGTTTAGCCAAAAGAACTTCCCCACCAGAAATTAACACCTTCAATTAATTGGATACATGAGGTTTAGCCAGATTTGCTATTTTATTCACCTTTTTTTTTTTTTTCCTACTCCTCTCTACAGGAAAGAAAAAAAATAAAACAATTGCATGAAATTCACCAAGCTGGAGACTTGAGCTGAGCAAGGGGCTGAGCGAAGGGACAGTAGGAGATGGGAAAATGAAAACAGTTTTATCAGCAGAAAGTGATTTGCAGATTAAACTATCTGACCCTGAAAACTATCTCCCTGGAAACACAGTTCCCGGGAAAACTCAAGTTCAAGAACTAAAACAGAGTAATTTCTCATATTATTTTAGTGCAGCAAAAAGATAAAAAAAACAAGCTTTTAATTCAGCAATTTTTTTTCATTGACAGTGGAATCAGTATCTGGGAAAAGACCTATTCAATTTATGTGATCCAACAGGAGGAAAAATGAGGTGAAGGTAGTTACTTCTGGTAGCTCTGATTGCATGATACTGATACCCCCCCTTGAATCCACCCATTCTTATATTAGTAAAAGGTAAAGTACTGATACAATCACTGAAATGGAAATATCTGTTTTATAAAGAAATTACTTGTTTTGAATTTCTTTTACTGAAAATTAAGGGATTTTAGCATTTTAGAGTAATAAATTGATTTTAAAGTTGAAATTATTTCATCTTAGTAAAAAAAAAAAAACCCACAAATTTCTTCTGCTGTGGAAAACCTAACTTTTGATTTTATTTAAGGAAACATATCTGCATTTTCATCAAAAATGCTTTTATCAAAATACACCAGGGTTTGGCTTTATAAATGTGTATGTGACTTTTATATAAATAAAGATTTTCTAAAACTTTCTCAGTTCCAAATACTGTCCAAGTATTAATTCCTGTGGTAACAACCCAGATGCAGCAAAACCCTCTCAGTAAGTCATTGTTCACCCAAGGTGACATTCAAGCTGTCAGGATCTTAAAAGAGTAGCACAGTAATGCTGCCATCTCACACCTCGTGCTCCAACAGGGAGAGCTCAATGACAGTGCTGCTAGTAAGGAGAGCAGAGGAGCCAAGCAGCCTTTTGCCCATTTTACCCGGGGCTGTGAGATTTGCCCAAGGCTGTGCTAAGATTCCGTGTCGGGGAGCTGGGCGAGTGGCATTTAATCAGTGTACAAGGCTGATCTCTGCAGCACTCCTGCTTCAGAGCACTATAATGCAGCAATTCCACAAACAGACTAAAGTCCTGTAAAGAAAGAAAAAATACCCAGACATGTCCCCATCTTTCACTACTGTAAGCACAGAGAATGATAACAAACCTGGCTTATGACAACTGCATTTTTGTAAACTAATCAGTGCCTCCTTAACATAAGGGGGCTGACTCTCTGCAGTGCAAGTCCCTGATGGGTTAAATATACAGCTGTGTGGATAGAGCCATCTACACAGTGTGTTTAGCCAGTTCCTCAGCCTATCCATAAACACAGTATATTTTATTTATACAGTACCTTCCTTGTCCATGTTACTTTCAAAAGGCTGCAGCTCTAAGTCGCCAGAGCCCCCATCTCTCCTGCAGTCAAAAGCTCAACTTTCCAGCACGCTCCCAGGGTTGCATGCATCTCCACATACCTGCTCTGTGGCTGGAGGAGGAGGAGGAGGAGGAGCGGGATTCACCTCTGCTTGCAGCCTTCTGTCTCACAGACTCTCCCAGCAGCTTTTCCAGGGCAAGTCGAGGAAGAGTTTACTTAGGGAAGTCATACCTCTCTTGCATGCCAGCTGACTAAAACTCTGTGAGCTCTGAGAGAAGTTTGAAGTCACAGGGAAAAAAAATACTCCCCATAGACCAGTCCGTGAATTCATTCCTTTGCAGTCACGATCCCTTATGTATTCCCAGGCTCCCACAAGCGTGTGAATACATACCTCCGTAATTGTTTTAAAATGTGTGTGTCCTCTGCGCTTCTCTTTATTTTCCATTTCGTCCATTCAGTCTTGGCTTATTTCCTGCAGTTTCTCAGCTGGTAATTACGCTCCTCTCGTATTGACACATGAAACACTCAGTAAATTCCACAAAAAAGATCCCCTCTGCAGGCTTTGCAGACACGTGCTTGTCTCTGAAGTCATCCGTGCCTGTCCCACAGCTGTCAGCTTGCAGATTCCCAGGGGATGGAGTGAATCAGAGGCACTGAGCTAGTTGTAAACCCAAAACTCCACATCCATGCAGAATGGGATGCACAGGAAAAGGGTATATGGGATGGAAGCTTCACAGTAGGGACAACACATATGTTTGGTTTCCCAACAGCTCAGTTGTGTCTCTGTGGCACAGCAGTGGGATGACCAAATGCACCCTTGGGGGAAAGGATAAATTCAATTTAATGCTTGAATGGGAAATAATGTAAATGCCTTCCAGAAAGGGCAGTGGGATGGATTTTTCTTTCTTTTCCTTGGATGTGAAACTCTCTTTTATTTCAGAAGCAATGCACTTGTGCAAACCTGTGGGATACCAGCACATTGCCTGTGTTGTCTTTTTCTGTTTAGATGTGCCCTGGTACCAGGGCAGGGGTGCAAAGTTTGCATGATAGTTTTAGAGCAGTACAAACCTCTGAGGGAGTTGGGCCAGCGCCACAGTGGGTGTCTCAGGACTAAACTGAGGGCTGGGTTCACCAGCCAAGGCACAACCCTGCCTAGGCCACCCTGCCAGAGAGCTCCCACAAGCACCAGTGACCAAAGCAAGCTTCCCAGGGATCACTGCAAATCTTCCTGCCTGGATGCATGAAGAATATCTGAACTGAGTCACTTCCTGCCTGGAGGAGAGTTTTGCCTTCAGCATTGTGTGTTTTCCCCTCTTTGCACTGACATCTGCCATTATGGACAAGGAATTTGGGTGAACCGAAAAAATAGGGGGTCCTGACTCCGTTCTACTGGACGGCATCAATTCCTGGATCTATTTATTAAATCAGATAAAACCCATGTCCTTTAACAGCACATGCCAAACAGCTTTGTGGATTCTGCTAAACATGTTAGTGTTTATTCTCTTTGGCACACCAGCTCCTGACAAGGTCACTTCAGATCTGCACCGTACTGGGAGATTCAAGATGAAAATGTCTAGAGATGTGAATGATGTGGTTTGTTAAAAGTTGCAATGAGTACATTTTGCACATGTTACTGCAATAAGAATGTAACAAGGAGAATCAA